TACAATCCCATGATTTTTAGATAAGTACCACAACACCAGTAAAAAAAAAACCAAGTCTGAACAGCCAAGAAGATGGAAATGTAATTTCAGCTCATATCTGCCATAACTCAAAGGAAGTATTGATTACAAAAAGAATCCCAGTTCTTTGGGAAATAGCCATTACTACTTGACACAAATAAGAATGTTCCTTATGCAAACATGAATGAAAAAAGTGGAATATAGTTATTCACAACTGAATACTGTATCTTACTACAAAATGTGTACTTAACAGCAAATTAGGCACAAAGTGCACCTAGGAAAAATTCTGCTTAAGCAGCACTTAGTGAGACTATTACTAATTTTGTGTAATGACACTTTATTACAGAAGAAAAAAATTAAAGAAGTTAATAGCCACCTCTGAGTATTTTTATGTGTGGGCCTATAAAATAATTTTACAGGCCTCATACAAGCAGGTATTTCTCACATAACTGATCCAAATAACTTTGGAGAGAGCCAGAAAGCTGATGCACCATGGGTTTAGGTTACCTGTAAAGCTGGATATTCATCTACACGTCTCTGACACGTTACTTATACCATAAATCATTCAGTGACAAGGGGGTACCCAAGTGGCAATCCAGATTCCCCACTTTGAGCAATAGTCATTCAAACAGAATGAAGCAAAAAGCTGTGTTTTTCATTCAGAGGGTGGTTGGGCACTGAACAGGCTCCCCAGGGCGGTGGTCACAGCACCAACCTTGACAGAGTTCAAGAAACATTTGGAACAATGCTCTGGGACTCACTGTGTGACTCTTGGGGTGTCCTGCACAGGGTCAGGAGTTGGACTCCATGATCCTGATGAGTCCCTTCCAACCCAGCGTATTCTGAGATTCTACACATTTTCCTTGGCAAAATAAGTCAGTTCTGCATGCTAGTTTCAAATCATGTCTGTTAATCATTCCATGTAGTGTCTATAAACATTACACAACTTGCAATACCACACCATGACTTCAAATACAGGAGGAATCACYGGAGGCTTTCAAGATGCAGCTGGACAAGCTGCTTATAATTTTATTTGGGCTCCCTGTCCCACGAGCCTTTGGGCCAGATGATCTTGTGAGATCCCTTCTAACCTGGGCTGTTCCATGATTCCATGATCTTACAGATGTAAAGCCTACTAGTGGACACTGAGAATACCAGAGCCATCAGCCTCTCTAAGTAAGTATGTAACCAAATGAGATGGGAGAGTGAATAATGGGAAGATAAAAACAAGAAYGAAATCATATTCAACCTTTTCCTTACTGAAGTCACACTCTTATCACTCACTTCTGAACACTCCCTGCCATCAGTCTAAGAGGGTCAGTTTACAAAGGTTCTTATACTGGGCTGACAAGGCAACAATCTTGTAAAGAAAACAGAGGAGTCTCTGTGGAGAAAGACCAGAAGCTGCCCCATGTCAGACATGAAAAGCTAAGCCAATCTGGCAGACACCAAGGTCAGTGCAGGAGGGWGGAAGGGTGGGGTAACTGGTGTACTGACAGGGAAGCTGGCAAGAAAACCCACTGTGGAACAGATATCCTGAAGGCTGTCCTGTATATCCTGTAGCCTAGGACAGGACCCACACTGGAATGGTCTATGAAAGAAAAATGCACTGCTTTCTCATTAGAATTATGCCTCATAGACATACTTTSAGGAAAAGGTTTCACTATGTAGATGACACACAAAACCCACACAGCTATAAAACACAATGGTCAAATAACAATCCTTGTGCTGTTAATACAAAATTCCTTCACACACAAACATTCTGAACAACACAGAACTTTGCTGTGAGCCAGTAATGCCTGAAAAGCATTTAAATAATAYATGAAAATGTACACTATGGCTCTGAATGAATGGGGAGGAAATAAGACTGTCTTTTGGCAACTAAGAAATACAGAAAAGCAGCAGAATCGTACCGATAGCAATGCTCTGATAGCTTAAAAGTGCTATTATAGCTTCCAGGTGGAATCCTTCAAAATTCCTAAAAGCTGGTCTGTAACAGACTGCACAAGTAAGAAAGACAACTCAGAAACCCTCCCAAAAAAAAAAAAAAAAAAAAACAAACAAAAAAAAAACAAAACCAAAAAAAAACTAACCACCAAACCAATTAACACTCAAACCACTTTTGACCGAGAAGCTAAAACTGAAATTCTTGATGCCCCCAGTCCACAAGCTTGGTCACAGATGTCTCTTTGACTAAGTTCACAAAGCTTACTACTTCCGTACATTTCTTAAAAGTCAGGCTAAAAAAAGCAGACACCGTATCCAWATATACAAAAATCCTTTCCTCACAGATTTCAGCAGCCACTACAAGCTGATTCCTCCACATGAATTCTGTTTGTCCCTCTTTATKAACGTTGCTTTCACTGGGACAAGCCCATTCCTTTTACAAGCTAACTGCATACAGGTGAACCTAGTGACATTTTGTCTCTTATCATCAGTGTAAATTTCTAATAGGTGCTTCCCCAGGGCTGACAACATCAGCAAACAATCACAATTTGCTTTTTTCCCTTGGAAAAGCAAGCAGAATAGAYGTTTCTTCTCCACCCTCCAATGCACTTATCTGAACCATAACCTAGAAATTATGCAATTGGGCAAATAGGTAGCAGGTTAACTTGTGAAGATTATTTTTATCCCTTAACAGGAAAGCTAAAAGAGCAGGAACTTCTGACTCAATATGGCTTATTGAAATGGAAGCAGGTACAAAAGGCACTAGAGAGACATAGAACCTAAACTATTACCAAAAACTAYGCAACTTACCAAAACTATTTTAACTGAAAGTTGTCACACTGATGAAAACTCTTCAGACAGAGGAATTCTGAGGAATTAATTGCAACACCAGTCTGTCTTGTGACAGCACAGTGATCTTTCAGCCACCGTGTCTGCCAAATACCTGAACTCACTCTGCCATTACTTCGCCCTTTCAGATACACAACAACTTTTCACAGACTGTTTTATGTTTCTGCAAAAAACACAACCCAAAGAATCTTACATGTTGTGTAACCCCTGCCAGATRATCTTCTGCAAGATTATTATCTAAATATAATTAGACCATCCTCATTTTACAYTGTAATTTGCTGTTGTATCTCCAGGCTATTTACCTCTATGCAAGCAGTCATGTGGCTGCTGATTAYGGGAAAGGCACTGCTTGGTCCACACGTCATATCCTGATTGTAGGACCGTTGTCTTACATTACTCACTTGCAAGCTGTTGTATCAAGTCACACAGGGCATCATTTCAGGGAATACCAAAGATTTGAGCCCAGCATTTAAAGTGAAGCATGTTGGAAGTTATTACACTTAAGGATATAAATGTTAAGAGGTTTCAAGCTCTATCTCAAGTCTTGGACTTTACCAACAAATTATTCTTTTGTGTAAGACAACATTTCTCTCATGGGAAAAAAGGGCAGCTTTACAAAAAGCTATTAATTCTGTTTAATTTAATTCATTTTTTTTTCAGATTTTCAGCTAAGTCTTCGCTTGGTTATTTACATTTCATACTTTCCAGAGGAGAAAGTTCTAAAATTTAACCTTGGAAGTAGAGGCATAAGCACTTCAGACTGCTTGGGTTGGCTGCAGATTTTTAACTTGACATCAGAGCCTATATATGAAGAGCTGTTACCACAGAGCAGATGACGTGGGGTTCCTGTGGCCATGCTTTTCAAGGTAGAAACCTTCAAAAATCATATTTCTTGCATTGAACAAGTTCAAGATGTTAATGCTAAGCAACAAACTTCTTCCAAAGAATTTCCATATTGRTAAATCTGCAACTAAATTAACAGAATGATGACAAATTAATCCAAAATAATTTAAGTGCATTGAATTACATTACTAAAATCTTTTCCCCCATATTTCTCCCCAGTATATTCACTTTGGCATTCAGCACAGGCAAAATAGCATTGTGCATATAGGAAATACTATGTGCATCACATAATTGCTTTTCATAATGCCCATTAAAAATTCTGGACCACTGATGTCTAGGACAATTATTTATTGAGTTGGTTAAAGTTAGTAATTTGACAAATAATCTGTTTTGAAACTGGAGAAGTAATTGCTGCTTTTTTCTAGAACCTGTGCAGAAGTACACTTACAATTGTCCTCTGCCCATCTGCAGATTCTGTGAGTTTGGTTTCCTGATACATCTGGAGAAAGAAAAAAAATAAGCCTTCTATCTCAAAAAACCCATCTTAGAAATGTTGACTGAAACTGTTGAAATTGGTTCTTTTTGTGAACATGGTACCTCATATCATGTTTGGTCCAAATACCGTGAAGTGGTTCAGGTGACTGCAAAGTTTAGGGAGCATCATTTTGTTCATAACAGCAYAAAGAGTGTTTTATCATTTGAAGTTACCTCTCTCTTTTATGTGATACTGCCTTGGCCAGCGTGYAGATGCAAATATTCTCTCACTTCCTCCTTTAAGGAGACATTTTATGGCAAAATATTTATTAACCAGAGCCTCTACCTTCAGCCTCTGCTTCGCCTGTAGAAGCAAAAATTTCACTYTGCCCAGTTGTCTTTTGCACTAATCCTTCACTAAAGTTCAAGCCACTCCAGGACAGCAAAAAGCTTGTTGAAACTGGATTTCTAGACTACAGCCCTATTGCTACAATTCCCTCGACCTATGAGCTGCAGTGATAGGAACACTGGAAAAGCAGGTTAGACCCCAACSAAATCTAGTAAAGTCTTTCCAAAAAGTGCTTTACATAGGGTTGAATTCTAGAGGAATTTTCCTTGTGTTACTTGCTGGGAGAGGGATACGATGAAATACCGTCTTTTAAACAGACACAGAAGATATACAGCCACCTCCAGTGTTGGTAAAACCAAACAGAGCCACGCCACGGGAGGGAGGGGACTGTTACTCACCTGCGGTCACACCGGGATCGCCCGCACACTCTTCCCCACCTCCCAGAGGCAGCAGGTGCCCCGCTGCCGGGCTGCGTGCCCCGAGGGAAGCGCGGGCAGAGGCGAGGGCAGAGCCCCGGGGGATGCGGTGCTGGGAGCGGAGCCCGCTGGCGCCGCGGCGGCGCTGGGTGCTGCTGCTGGGACCGCTGGCGCTGTTCGCCGCCGCCCTGGCGCTGCGGGGCACAGCCCGCCCCGGCCCCGCCGACCACCCCCGCTGCCGCCAGAGCCTCTGCCGGGCGCTGGAGCTCTCCCCCGGCCGCAGCATCAACTGCTCGGGGGTCGTCCGCGGGGACCGCACAGCCATCGAGAAGGCGCAGCTCAGCAATCTGGAAGTGGCGAACAGCAGGGCTTCGCCGACGCCCGGCGAGTACCTGAACATGACGAGGGACTGCACAGCCTTCAAGGAGACCCGGCGGTACATCGAGTTCCCGCTCAGCCAGGAGGAGGAAGAGTTCCCCATCGCCTACTCCATAGTCATTCACAATAAAATCCACATGTTCGAGCGACTCCTGCGGTCCATCTACGCACCCCAGAATGTCTACTGYGTCCATATGGACAGCAAATCTCCGGCTGCCTTCCAGGAGGCCGTGCGGGCCATCGCTGCCTGCTTCCGCAACGTCTTCGTGGCCAGCCGCCTGGAAAGCGTGGTCTATGCCTCCTGGTCCCGGCTGCAGGCCGACCTCAACTGCATGCAGGACCTGCTGCAGAGTCCCGTGCCATGGCGCTACCTCCTCAACACCTGCGGCACCGACTTCCCCATCAAGACCAACGCCGAGATAGTGCGGGCGCTGCAGGTGCTGCAGGGCCGGAACAGCCTGGAGTCCGAGAAGCCCTCRGCCGCCAAGCAGGGGCGCTGGCAGTACCACCACGAGGTGGGGAAGGCCATCTCCCGCACTGCCCGGGAGAAACTGCCGCCACCCCTCAAGTCACCCATGTTCACGGGCAATGCATACATCGTGGTCACACGGGACTTCGTGCAGCACGTCTTCGAGAACCCCACGGCACAAAAGTTCCTCGAGTGGTCCAAGGACACCTACAGCCCTGACGAGCACGTCTGGGCCACCCTGAACCGCATGCCGGGCGTGCCGGGGGCACTGCCCCACAACGACAAGTACCAGCTCTCGGACATGAACGCCCTGCCCCGCCTGGTCAAGTGGCAGTACCTGGAGGGGGACATCAGCAAGGGCGCGCCCTACCCGCCCTGCACCGGCCGCCACCAGCGCGCCGTCTGCATCTATGGGGCGGGCGACGTGCCCTGGATGCTGCAGCAGCACCATCTCTTGGCCAACAAGTTCGACCCCGACGTGGACGARGCGGCCATCCTGTGTCTGGAGGAGCACCTGCGCCACAAGGCCCTCTACGGCCGGGGGCTCTGAGGGGACCGCGGAGACTCTCGCCAGCACCTGCGAGACAAGTGCAGCCGCCGGCGCCTCGGGGACAGTGAAGAGGGGATCGAGACCGTGTCGTGAGGAGAGCCGGGCGCCGGGGACAGCGGGAGGGGATCTCCATGTCACTGAGGGGCGCCCGCCTCGGCGTGGCCCCGAGGAGAAGCCCCACGGGCGGGCGTGGGGCTGTGTCTCCAGCGAGGGTCGGAGGCAGGGCCGGTGGAAGGGCCGGTGGAAGGGCCGGTGGAAGGGCGGGGAGCTCAGCCCGGGCTGCTCGGGCCCTGTGCCGCCCCCGCCCGGGGGATCCCTCAGGAAGCGCGGGAGGACCGCTCTCCCCGGAGCGGCGGAGAACGGGCGGGTCCTGTCCCTGTCCCAGTCCCTTGGCGGAGTCTGTTGGCCAAAGTGATCCCAGGGCTGCCGCTGTAGACGGGCAGGGCCGGGTCACGGGCCACGCTGCCTCCAGGTCCGGCTCGGGGCASAGTTGAAACCATGATTAATTTGCTTTTCCACAGAGTACCTGGCAGCCGCCCGCCTGTTCCTGGCACTCGCAGCACTGCTCAGCTGAACACCTGGCTGCTGCTTTTGCCTCACCCAAAGTTTTGACTCTATCAAAAGTCATTAGTGAGTAAAACCCAACCTTCAATAAAATCAATGATACTAAAATAGATAGCGCTTTGGTATTCTATGGCCTCTGAGGAGAACGAGTTGTGCTCCTGGGCAGARCATTTAACCAGTTAACCTTTTATGMATTCAACTWTTCCATCTGCAACCCAGGCAGAGGGATGCACACAATGGTGTGCAAACCTACATTTTCTAAGATTTGCATCTCTCTCCCACATCACAAAAAAACCAAACAAAAAAAAAAA